GTTGCCCCCGCGCCTCGCTCAGCCAGTGAGCGGGAACCGGTCTGTATGTGGGATCCGAACGGCGGGAGTGCCTCCACGCTTCACAAGCGGCACACCAGCGCATACGCCACCGGGCCGGCCCCTCCCTTGAACTTTTCTGATGCTTGATTTGGTGGTCCATAGCACCTTCACGTTTTCTGGGAGGAAACATCTCCCGATAGATTTTATACAAAACCTGAGAGCAGGAGACAACGCTAGATGGAACTTTACTAACATCCCCCAGCTCTAACCTCTAGCTTGGGGCAGGCGAGGAACCAGCCCAGTGAGAGGAGAAAGACGTAGACGTGGGGCGTAACAGGGGCGCGGAGCATTTCCAGCAGCGATCTCGGCGGGTCAGCTCCACCCGCGCCTAATCAACTCCCCGGAAGAAACATCTTTATTTGACCTCCTCCCATCCAGGCCGCATCTCCTACACCAGTTCACTTTCTGGTATCTCTTTGGTATTGTTTTTCATGAACTCCAGAATCATCTTTCAACCTCCTCTCTAACGACTACAAGTTTTAAGGTTTGGCCCTAAGTTACAGTCGCGTCTCCCTAGCAACGTGCCTCTGACAGTCACCGGAAAAGGTTCCGATCACGTGCTCTAGGGACTTCCGGGTTTTCAATGTGACTTCCGGTTGTCAGAATTTCCCCAGAGGCAGAGGCGGACAAGGAGGGGAAGCTGTCCGGTCCCAGGTCGCAGTGGCCCCGGGGGTGGTGCGCTCCGGGTGGGCTCGCCTCATCCTGCCCCGGCCGCTATGCATCCGCGGCGCCCGGACGGATTCGATGGCTTGGGCTACCGGGGTGGTGCCCGGGACGACCAGGGCTTCGGCGGCGCTTTCCCTGCAAGGTCCTTCAGCTCCGGGTCGGACCTGGGCCACTGGGTGACGACTCCGCCAGACATCCCGGGCAGCCGCAATCTGCACTGGGGCGAGAAGAGCCCGCCCTACGGCGTGCCTTCCACCTCCACCCCGTACGAGGGCCCCGCGGAGGAGCCATTTCCCAGCGGTAGTGGCGGCGGAGGCGGAGGCGGCGTTGGTGTGCAGGGGCAGAGCAGTGGTGAGGGCGTGGGGACCAAGGCAGGGGTGGGTAGGGTTGCGGAGCCGTGAATCGCGGCCTGCAGACCCCGGAAGCCGTGGGAAAGATCCCGCCTCCGGGTCCTTCTCGGCCTATCGCGCGCCACACCCTCTGCCCCCCTTTCGTCCTCTGCCCCTGCAGCGGGCCTCCCCCTTCCTCACACAGACCTATCCTCCAGGATCACCTCCAAAAGGGACATCTGCTTTAGCTATGGGGTGCATAGTAGGAAATTTTAGGGGGGGTTGGCATGTTACAACCCATGGCCAGAGTCAAGAAAGAAGGAAATTGGATTATTTACTGTTACCTAATTCGTTTTGGCAGCTATACTTTCTTGATTTAATTAATTAGTTCATTTACCTGTTGCTTTGTGTTGTGGAAAGAAAAGCTTTTCAGCGTAGGAAGGTTTAGGTTCAAACCCAGCCCTACCACTTAAGCTGAACGACTTTTCTTGACTTCTGTGAGCCCTTAGTTTTCTCATCTTTAAGATGCGCAGAAGAATCATAAGCTTTTTACAAGTGTTAAATAAAATGAATTGTAACACCTAATATAGTATGGGACACATAGTAGGCTAAAAAATATTCGTTTCCTTCCTTTTCTCTTTTAATCTTAGGAGTGGTATCTATCTTTTTAGATCTCTAGTCAAGAAATTTTCCTTCCTATAATTTTCTCTTTTCCTGCTTTCCTTCTTCTGACCGAAAAATAACACTTAAGAACTAGAAACACTGATACAGTTTCGAGATAGCATTTTGGAATCAGTACAAAATTATTCTCTGTAGGATGTCAGAAGACCTTGTAACACTGCATGGTCTAGCTATTTTCAACATCCTTTTTATTTGTAAAATGTAAATAATGGCTGCCTCTTTCCACTCTCTGGGAATTGTTAGAATAATAGATTAATTATATCATTAAATATTACATATATTCTAGACTGCCTTATTCTCATTTCCTTGACTTTGTCTTGGACGTGCAATAATATTTGATTTGAGTTGACTGGGAGGTATAGACTTTTAATGATTACGTGATCAGCAAATGGAGATGTGATGGAGGGTTAGTGACTTATCTAGTGTCATACAGTTAGGTTTTTGACTCTCACCTAGTTTTCTTTCCATGTGTCATACTGGTCCCAGAAGAATATTGGAATGCTTTTATAAGTCATAAATTAAATAATTCATAATGCATATATAATTGCTAAACAGTTAACTTCTTAGGAAGTAAAGTTTGTGATTTTATCTTTTCATAAATTAAGCTTTGATGATTATGGTGAGGAGGAACTCCTCAGCAAAACCAGAGATTCATTGTAGCAGTTAACATGTAAGTGAATGTAACTTTGCAACGAGGATATAGACTCCAGAGAGATTTACACAGTTAAGAATAAACTTTCCTAACACCTTCCAGAAAATGTCAGTGGCATTTTCTGTTAATATTTGGGAATGGTCTGTACACACAAAGAGGGTAAAAAAGTGACCGGAGGAATGTACATTAACTGGGCAAAAGAAGTTTTTTACTGTAAGGAAGTAGGACATTTGCAAGAGTATGGTGTAAGGGGGAGTTATCCTTGTGAATATTGTATTATAGCTGAAATTTAATGTCTAGTCCCTTGGGGTGGTGATAGTTCACCATTATGATTTTTGGTTCTTTAGTCAAGGAGAAAGGCTTTTTTCATCTTTTGACACGGGCATAGAAATGTTTCCAGCTATAAACTTTTCCAGTAACATTACAGAATTGTCATCAGTAGTAGCACATATATGTACCTACTAACCTATCACAGAGACTGAATTAAACAGCTACTCTAGAACTGTTTAAAACTTGAGAAGATATGGAGGAAGAAACCTGTTTTTACCCATTTTGGTTACCTTGAATACTCATTCAAGTTAATAATTTAAAGGTGCTTTTCTTGCAACTATTGTTTTAACAAGGTGCTCTCCATCAATAACAGTGGGTTACAGCATGGAGGGTAAAGTTGTTTGTGGAAGTTTTCTAGTTGATTACAATCAGAAGTTGAAAACTGGTAACCCTTAACTGCATACTTGTTTGATTTGGCCCATACAGTGTTTTAACACTTTTTGAAATAGTTGCTGATACTTAAAAATATGAAGATTTTGGGCCGGCCCGGTGGCCCACTGGAGAGTGCGCCGCTTGAGAGCGCGGTGGCGCTCCCGCCGAGGGTTTGGATCCCATGTGGAGACCGGTTCCCGCTCACTGGCTGAGCGCGGTGCGGGCGTGGTTGCGATCCTGTTGCCGGTCCCCAGTACGGGCGCGACACCGAGGGTTGCGATCCCGTTACCAGTCAGTGAAAAAGACAAAAAAGGAAGGCTGAGCGCGGTGCGGGCGTGGTTGCGATCCTGTTGCCGGTCCCCAGTACGGGCGCGACACGGAGGGTTGCGATCCCGTTACCAGTCAGTGAAAAAGACAAAAAAGGGAAAAAAAAAAATGAAGATTTTATACACAAATGAATTTGAAAATCACAGCTTAGAAAACCTGGGCCCTGAGCATAAATGAACTGGAGCTAAAAAGCAGTTGCATCCTTAAGAAGTCTACATTGGAACTTGCCACATAAGCCCCAGCAGAGTCCTTCAGTCATTCAGATTAACTCCCTGGTCCTTATCAGAATTTGACTTAGGACTTTAAATGAACAGCATGTTAATAAAAGAAATTTTTTGTTTGTTCGTTTTTAAAGTAAACCTAAATATTGGTTATGAGTAATTTTATTCCTTTTATTTTAGAACAGTTGAATAGATTTGCTGGATTTGGTATTGGACTTGCAAGGTAATGTTTTTATCTAAAGATTTTTAAATTTAAGTTTTTATTTAGTGTTTTTTCTTTAATTAATAATATTAATTTAAGTTCCTTTAGGTTGCTATCTTCATGTTGTTTCTTTGGAACACCACATTAAATATTGAATAATATTTTACAGAAAAAAAGAGCGTTATTTAAAATCTATAAATTGATTTTTTTTTCCCAGTAAAGTTAGAGACTATTCATTTGATTCTAAACACAAAGTAATTTGCAACGAATATTTTAACAACTTTCATGGGTCTATCCAAAGAATAAAGTCAAATGTAATTGTATCTCCTTCCCCATCAAGAAAAGAGTAATTGTGCATTGAAGCTTCTCTCTAAGCATTCAAATGCTCACAGGATAGTTAGCTGCATAGCATCTAGATTTTGCTTATATTCAGCGTTTGGTGATCAGCATTACATTTTTTTATTTCTAATGATAATTTTATTTTAGAAAGTCATTCAGTCTCGATTATTGTCATCTTTAGTGAATACCAGTTTCAAAAACATTGGAATTGCACAGGCTTACATTTCATACCAGAATGACCATCATCATTTTAAACATTTTAACCAAGAAAAAAGACTTTATTTGCATATTTAAACCTGAGGATGTTAATGTCAGTATAACTAAAATCTGTATTTTTCATTCTGCTACTGTCAATTTTTTTAGCCTCACTCTTTATACTTAAAGCTTTTGTTCATTTGACACAATATTAATATATGTGTGAATGTATATATATGTCACTGTTAGAGATTAAACCCACAGCTGTAATTATTTCCTGGGGAATGTTTTCAAAAAAATATTACATGGTTGTTAAAAATCCTGTAAAAATCCTATAACTTAGTGCAAAGTACATCAAAACCAAAATTTGCTGATAGGAACTTTGTTCATAGGTCATTTTCTGGGAAAAAAAATAGCATTCAGTGGTGCCATTTAATTGAAGTGACGTTTCCCACATCAAACATACAGAGATGTAGTTTTATCTTTATGCTATAGTTATTAATATTATGTATTATTTTCCTTATTTACCAGTTTGCAGATCTGATATTCGTTCTTTTTGTATTGAATTTTGTTATTGGTGGAATCATTTGCAAATATGTCTAGATATTTTAAAAATTTCCTTTAATTTAAGAATACAGAACATAAATTAATGCATGATTCTTCAGGCAAGAATAATTCGAAAAACATATGTTGTAAATTAAAGTTGTCTTTATATAGACACATATATACATAAATTTTTTTATACAGTCTCTTTACAGAAAATGTACTGGCCCATCCTTGCATTGTTTTACGCCGCCAATGTCAGGTAAATGTAATTTCTGTGACCTTCTGAAATAATAATCCTGTCCCTTATTCGAAGTGCAGAACTCAGATAAGTGGCATGAGACCATGTAACTATTACTTTATGTTAAATGTTCCAAAATCTGTACTTTACCAGTTCTCAAACTTTTTGGTCTTTAAACTTCTTTAAAGTCTTAAAAATTGGTCATGATTTCAAAGAACTTTGGTTTATGTTGGTCATATCTGTCAATATTTGCCATTTCAGAAACTAAAACTGGGAAAATTTTAATGTATCTATTAATTTAATTCATTAAAATAAACTCATTAGATATCAACATAAATAACATTTTATTAAAAATAAATGTTTTTGCAAATGTTGTTAATGTCAGGCATAAGAGGAGAAAGTCAGATTCTCATAACTGCTTCCGCAGTCAATCTGTTGTGATACATTGTTTTTGAAAGAAACAAGAAAATCCAGCCTTCTACACATATGTAGTTGAAAAAAACAGTTTTTTATATTGTTTTCAGAGAATTCCAGGTATTCTTCTTTGAAATTAAACCAAAACTCACTAAATGGTAGTTTCTTAAAGGTTATTTACAATGTGAAATCTAAAACCACATCAATGAACTTTTTATCCTTGTTACGTAAAAATCCATTCATCTATACTGCATCGTGGATGGATATTTTTATCCATGTATGATTCCATATCATCATGCACTGAGTATTTGAAAAATATTGATCCATGCATTATATAGATCTTCCAGATCTTAAAACATTTGATTATACACATCAAAAAATCATTTAAGTATTAGAAGTTTTTGATGGTGGATACAGATTTTCCAAAATTCTGAATTTTACTTGAAAACTCATATTTATCATTGACAACAAATACTGTCAGCTGTTTTTTGGTTTTTTTTTTTTAATCAACAGCTCACTTTTTTGATTTTCAAGATCATGTTTCAAGCTTGAAAACTCATATTTATCATTGACAACAAATACTGTCAGCTGTTTTTTGGTTTTTTTTTTTAATCAACAGCTCACTTTTTTGATTTTCAAGATCATGTTTCAAGCAAAAAATGGTGTTCCTTGAAAAAAGAGGCAAGTTCAACTTGCAGTTCCATTATACAGGTGCTTTTCCTCATGACAGCCATCTTACTTCCTTATGCAACACACAGGATATTAATTAGAAAAATGATGTGTACTCAAAGGTCAGCGTTTTGTAAAATTAACATTTTTTACTGCTTCATCAAGGATATTCTTAAGTGAAGTTTGCTTTTTCCTTCCTGTGAATAAGTGGGGTGAAGAAAACAGTAAGTAATAAAGTATAGTTTCATGTCACTGCCTTAATTTCTGCTAAAGAGCTAGCATTTTGACCACCATTTCTTTTGCAGTATTAGTGAAAATATCAACACAACGAAAAAGGCAACAATAATTTTAAATTTGTTGATCCCCTAAAAGGGTAATGGGGCTTTTGGGGGTCAGTGGACCATACTTTGGCAAACAGTGTTATACTACAACTCACCTCCTTTGCAAAGTAATTTTTCCCGTATTTATTTACTGTTAAAATTTGAAACAATATAATAAATCATTACAAATTAATCTGTTCATGTTTAGCACTGAAAAATAAGTATGCATAGAGAAATAACCACTTAAATAGCATAACAGTGAATATGCCCAGAACAGTATATTTCAGACATGTATTTTACATTGTGATCCAGTGTATACATAATGAGTAACAAATATGTTATTTTAAAAAATATTTTATTAAATAATACCATTAGAATGTGTGATGCATTCTAATATTTTATTTTTTATTATTTCACTTAATGTATAGTTTTTTGATCCCCTTAGCTGATTTCATAATTTACCAATCAGTTGCAACCTATAGTTTGAAAAATGCTTGCCTAAAATGAGCATGAGTTGGGATATGTAATTCTAGTGTTTAAGGAAACAAATATCAAACAATAAGACCCTCTTTATTATATAGTCTACATTACTGTGTATATTATGCATTGGTCTCCAGACTGTATTTATATAACCATATATACTGTACTTTTAATAGGTTATTTAAAGTACTTTTAAGAATAATTTTGCTTATGTTTAATTTATGTTGACTTTAGAATTTAACTTTTGTTAATGATGCAGCTGCCCTGTGTATCTTTCATGGCCTTGTTATTTCTTGACGAAACAATAATAGAAAAAAATCATAAAATATCTTCTTTACAGGTTAATTACCATGCTCGGCATTACCATCTCACTCCATTTACAGTCATCAATATTATGTACAGTTTCAACAAAACTCAGGTGAGAATTAGTCTGTGAATTCTATTAAAGATGTATATACGTGTCATTTGGGCTTAGTAATCGTTAAAGTAAGAATAATTCCTTTTAACTTGGTGAATAAAAATATCTTAAATCTTATAGTAAAACAAATGTAGCATAGTAATGGTATCTTTTTTGAATCTTTCAGCATTTCATTAATTCAGCAAAAACTACTAAGAACACAGCAGCTAACAAGAGGCTTATAGTTCAGTCATGGAGACAAAAACTTAAGCAGAAAATTGCAGTACAATAAGATAGATGCAATGTTAGAAGTATAAAATGCTGTCAGAGTTCTAAAGAGAAGTACCTTATCAAAATTAGGATTGGGCACAGGCTATGGCATGGAAAAACTTTAGGAAAAGGGACACCTGCGTTGTATACTTATTGTCAAGAAGTCTACCTTTTAGTGATGAGGATAGAGAAAAGGTTTTTTAAGTTGATGTGCAGAGACAGAAGAAAATGAGAGGTTATAATGTTTGGGAATGCATTTAATGCAATACAGTGGGAGCTTGGAGCAGGGGTTGAAGAGTAAGAGAAATGAAAAAGTAGCTGGAGAAGTAAGCAGGATCCAGATCATAAAGGCTTTCTAATTGCACCCTTGATCTTAAAAGCTACAGGAGTATCATTGAAGATGTTTTAACAGTGACCAAAGTATCTTGAGCAAACTTTGGTTGTCTGGCAATATCCATCAAAATTTAAAATATACATGTTCTTTGACTTACTAATTTCATTTCTAAGAACTTATTCCTTGTAGATGTATACATATATATACAAAAGTGTAAATATACAAGGATATCATGGCATTGCATGTGTGTGTGTGTGTGTGTGTGTATATATATATATATGCAAAAATATATATGCAAGGATGTCATTGTGGCATTGCATATAATAATGAGATTGGAAATGATTACATGTCCATAAGTATGGTACCAGTAAAATAATTACGGCATATTTATATGGTGAACACCAGTTAGCCTTTAAAAATAAGAAGATACCTCTGCATGTACTGATACAGAATGATCTCTGGGATATTATGTTATGGCTCAAGATAGTACCACCTGTTAAAAATGAGCAAAACAAAAACATTTATCTATCTGTACATATACACAGAGATGTACTTGTATATGCATGGACAATCTCTGGAGGATAAGTAAGAAATTGCTGCTAGGGGATGGGGTGAAAAGGAGACAAACTTTTTTACCTGATACCCTACTGCTTCTTTTTAATTGTACCATGTCTATATGGTATTTATTAATAGCATATAGATAAGTAATAAGAATAGGAATATCACTGATGGTATTCTGGAAAGGGGCAAGACTAGAGACAGTGAAACTTGTAATGTCAAATTGATAGAGTGTAATGGAGTAAGGATGGAACAAAGAGCATAGATTTGTAAGAGACTAGGAGTAGAATTTATAGAACTTGGTGACTAATTGGATAAGAAGAGTGAGAGAAAAATGTCTTCTGAATATACAATTTGGAAACTAAGATGATGAAGCTGCTATCTAGGGAGACAGGAAGTACAGCAGAGAAGAATTGGTGTGATCTGAGTGCATATGATTGGGTTAAGTTGTAGATATATAAATTTTGAGAGACCTGTGGGTCATCCAAAGGGAAGGACTAGTAGGGACTTGAATATATAGATAGTAGGGGTATTTAATAAGATAAATAAACTAATTAATTATTTGGATTGTTTAATTAATTGGATTGTTCATCTTGGCCTAAACCTAACAAACATTAACAA